TGACAGAGACTTTTTAACATGTGTCTTGTTGTGCATTAGCTTAAACTAGCACTGATGTTTTTCCAGAGAGGACAGTCTCAGATGTGCAGTTGTAAACATGGACAGGTGACAAAATAAATCTCTATCCCTTACTGGTATGTGGGTGTATACTAGAGCTTATGAGGGATGTATCCATATCACAAGAGCACCAGCAAAGTAGTAAACATGAATAATGGTGTTTGGGGTCTTAATGTTTGTAGAGTTAACAGACTTAAAGAGGTATATTAAATGTATCTGATGGTCACTGCCAACATGTTTAGTTTTTTCCCTAAAATATCCATTTGTGCCAATTAAAGCATGATGTGGCTGTGAAAAACCAAGGTGCTCTAACTAATTTACTTTCAGCGAGAAGGTGCAGTGAGACTCAAAACAAATGGACATCATAAGCTGCTCCTAATCGTTCCTTGCCAATCCCATCATCTCCTGATTCCTAGTGACAATTTAAACTACGGATACCTGGTTGGGACAGACTGTACAAAATGTAGCGTCCTGTCCCCCTGCCACTGGGGTTATCTTCTTCTTCTTCTTCTTCTTTCGGCTGTTCCCGTTAGGGGTCGCCACAGGGACAGGGGTTATCAACGTGTAAAATCTAATGCACCTTTAAATATTGAATAAGTAAGCAGAAATAGAATTTCTGTGTTTTACAAGAATGTCACTGTTTTTATTACTGGAAGTAAAATTTGCCTCTCGACATAAATCAAGTCACAAGTGTAAAATATTACAGTTTGCATGGGTCTAATTTAGGGAAATGTTTTTGATGTTCATTTGTAAGATCAGACGTTTTAGTAGAAAACAAATGTGAATGAAAATTAACAACAAATCCTCATAACATTATTAACAAATTTAATCTGATCTCAATTATGTTTCCTTTAAAACTTATATCCATACAAGCATATAAATGTAATTTCTGGCAGAGAGGGTTTTAAGGGAACGGGTACTTAGTAAATATTAGTGTATTTTAGTATCGTATAAATGGTTAATTGTTTTTTTTTGTTTGTTTTGCCTTATAGATATTGCAGTTTGTCGTCCATTTTACTTGCTACTGCAGTACATCTTTCCCATTAAAAACTGGCCTGTGCATTATATGATGTACAGTTCCTGAGGAATGAAGTATTGTTTGTTCATTGTTCTGGAACATGCTCAAGCTCTGAATCATCACTCTGAGCTCCTGTAAGACTGTAACTCAGTGAAAACATTCAGTCCTCTGGAGAGTTCACAGTAGACTTTCATCCTGTGGAACATTTAGCTCATCCCAGAGCAGAATAATGGTAATTAACACCTGCCCTCTTGTGACAGACAGAAGCAATCAAGCTCAAATCCATTCCTCCTTCTGGGTTTGTTCTCTTCTTGGGTTGGTAGATTACTCCAGTCTGTTCCCACAGACCGGAGCTGATGTGAGGAACAGCTGGACAAGGAGGAGTGGTATGAAGAAAAAAGCTGCAATGCAACGTGGCGTTTTCCATTCTGTCTGGAAGCCACAGTACAGTCGAAGATGGAGAGAAAAAGGAGTAGGAGGAGAAAAGGCAGGAGAAACCATGACCAGGAAACTCTCTTTCCTCCTCCCACATCATTTATCCTCTCTTTCATTGTGCCTCCCTCTTTCCTTTAGTTTAGCTACTTCTTCTCTCCTTCTCCTCTCACATTCACCCATCCTGTGTCTCTCTGTGTAAACGTGGCAGTCCTCTCTTTGTGTTTGACTTAACATGTCTTAAAAGATAAAGTGAAACGTTGCATAAATGGAAAATTATATATTTGCCCTCAGATGTTTCAAGCTTCAGGAGTAACACCACAGTCACACAAAGATCTTTGTGCCACATCATACACACATAAAGAAAAAGAAGACTGATCTGTTAGAGTAGGGGGTATCTGATTTCTGTTTTCTCTCTTTCAGTCTGGGGGTCCTAAGACGGGTGGGGGCCCTTTGAGCTGTCATTGCTCAGAGGCCCTCTGTTTGATTATCTGTGCATGATGGCAACCAACTATTAAAATAACCCATTCAGCAGTAGTTTGTCTAGAGTTAGTATGAGATAGGCATTATCTGAGATAGGGTAAGTGAAGGCAGCAGAGGACTAGAATATTTAAATCCAACAACAAACATCAGAACCGCTTTTTATCCACTACTTCCTTTATGAATTCACACAGGCCCTTAAAATAATTACTGAGGGACAGGGAGCCTTTTCACTGATAGATGTTTTGCATTCAAACTTGGCCTCCTGCTCCTGCTCCTGCTGTTGCTGCTCCACACATAAAAGAAAAATGGATTATGGGTCCTTCTGCAGTGTAATTTGCTGATGTGAGTATATTATATGTCTACATAAATCTCATGTGAAGATATGTATGATGCCAGTGAAATAAAAAAGTAAGGAGGAACCTTGTAGAATCCAAATAAAGGATATGACCAGCTACCATATTACTGTATGATCAGTTTCTTTGCATAATTTAACAGCTGTCCAATTTGTTTTTAAGCAATGTGAGACAAATCTATGTCAAGTAAAGCCCCAAGTCTCCAGTGTGAAAGTCAGTCAGAAATGGGATGTCCCTGTTGTCTCGCCCCACAGGGACCAGGATGCTTTTTACGTCCACACCGAGGCATGCTGACTCTCACCCAACGAACACAGACCTGTTTCATGTATAGTTTTCACAACAAATTGAGTTCTGGATTGTTGTAGGATGTGGCTGTACAGGTAGATTAACTACATGTACGTTTCCTAGAGGTGGATTATATTAAAATATATTGTTGGTTCTGGCTGACCTAGAATCTAAGTGTACTGTGATGAGCTTCAGTCTGGATTTAAACAGCTGACAATTTAAAACGTAACAGAGCGAAGTGTTTGTGTTCAAGGGAAGTCTGTGATTTAGTCGTTCCTCAAAACAGTCTGACCGAGCTGCCCCACGGAGACAAAACCCTGATGGAGGGTTACAGCCTGTAATTACACAACCCAGATGAGCTCACTGCCTGACCGCTGGGCTTTCAGTCCAGGTTTGTAGGGATTTGTAAAGGGAACGTTGTCGCCCACAGGAGGCATCCAAAGTCAATCACAGTGCATAGAAACCAATTAACTGAAGGGCAGGTCTTCACCCTAAGACCTGTGGTCAGACAGAATCTGTAAAGCTGTGGTTTGACTTTACTGTTGACACATTTAGTCATGGGCAGCACATATGGTTTACTAGGAAGTAAATGAACTGAAAATCATCTTACAGGTAGAGACGAGTAAAAAATGTGCACATAGTCGTGCACCTCATGATTCCAGAGGGAACATCACAAATTGGTCTTTATAACTTATATCAAAATAGCTCATCTCACATTCTACAACAAAGTCTTAGGTGCATTAGAGGGTGATGTGAATCTCTGGATCAACGAAAGATACTGTAGTTACCGAATCTGTCTCCTAGTCAACTGATTCTTTGCATCAAATCTTTTTAAGTTTGTTATAATAATTATCAGTTAATTTGCAACAGGAAAACATCTTTGGTCAGAAACATAAATACAAATGTTTCATGCCCACTTCCTGCCGGAGGCTCTTATTTTGTAGGAGACTTCCAGGTTTTTCATCATCTCACTCTCCCCAGCTTTACTACAGACAATCAGTGGCTGTAGTGAAGTTTTTACTGGCATTGCACAGTCACCTATACAATGAGACCGTGTGCCTCATCTGAGGTGCATTGAATAAAATCAAACGAACAAAAACAGATTTAACTTAATTTAATTTAATAGATTTTACTATGATGCTGTGAGACAATTTTCTTGTGAGTTGAAACAAGAAAGCTGCGAGTCTGAGTCAAAGCAGCAAACGTCAGCAGCTGCAGACAGTTTGGTGACGTGTAAACCAGGGAGTTAAAGAGCAGCTTGGACACAGTGTGCTGGCATCAGACACACACTTGCACACTCACACAGCAGGTTCTGGCTCTCAGCTCACACACACTCTGTACACATCGGAGGTGGAACTCTAGCTGGTAAAGAATGAAAGCACTGTCAACTCCCGGCACCCAAAACAAAAGTGTTTCATGCAGAGAATGTCAGTTGACACCAGAAGGGCAGGATGAGACCTGGCACTAGATTTAAACTCTATGGATCTGGCTCTCTTCCAGTACATTTCTAGATAGAAATCACATGAAATGTCCTCAAATATCTTGTTGGTTGGCCTACCTTAAACATGACATCCTTGTTTGGCCAGTCAAGGGTTTCATCGTGGCTTTAGTGCTTCTGTGTGCTCCTAAGATATATGTTAATGAAGAAACCTCTTTTCTTTGGATTTTTGGAAAAGAAATGATCTGATCATCAACTCAGCAGATATGAAAATGTGCCTTCACTTGTGTTCCTTACAGGTCTGTACATGCTTCTCTGTGTGTTCAGCAAAAACTCTAAAAGCTATCTGAGCTTTTAATTTATTTCAGCAGAAACACAGGCTCCCACTAGCTCGAGGACCACTGCTCAGCACCACCTGGCTGCTGAATCTTACAATATTTGGTGTACAGAGAATCAAAATGTACTTTTACCCACAAAGAAAAGATAATCACATTTACTCTCACACTGTTTAGCAAGCTCAGAGTTGCTGAGTTAGGATTCATCAGTCATGACTGCGACGTCAGCTCGGGGTGAAACCTGTTATCATTGGATCAGTGCAGTTCAACTTTTCTTGTAGACATTTTTGTCCTTTGTATTCTACAACAGATGCTGCCACCACAACCTTCACAGTACCTGCACACGTGTCCATGTGAGGCATATAGTAGTTTTATCTTTTTCAGGCTCAATCTGTCTCCTTCGTGTTCTGTGTTTGAGTGTGTTTACATCTTGGTGTACATCACATGCATCTCATTTCAGGACAAACTCATGTAGATAATCCATATCACATTCCAGTCCGACCTGCTGCG